GGGGGAGTAGAAATACTCCTAGTCGCTTCATGCTACAGAAATCGGGATAAGCTCCGGCCTGATGGGCCACTTGGCTCGCATGCAGACTTTACCTTACCTGGGAGAAAGTAAACATCTTTTGTCACAACATTTATCTCTAACCAAAGGGGATACCACCACAATAATATTGGGTGGTACAATGTTATTTAATGTTTATAAAATCTAGAAAATATAGTGCATATTTTGTAAGGGTTTTTATATATCAAGCAACTTTTCAATAAAAATTAAATGCTGGGAGTCTTGTACAATGTTCAATTTCAATAGGTCACTATATTCTCATTTGGGTAAAAGCCACGTCATGACTATTAGTCAAATTGGAAAACTACGTGTGTTTGTGGCAAACACCCAGTTGGTTATTTAGGTCCCCTGGGAGATTCCCAGAAGCTTATATATGCCCCTTGCATGCAAATCTTGCTATTCTCACAAGTCTAGTCTACTCGACGGCTAAACCAAGTTTCCCCACCCACCTCCTGTACAGCGATGCTAGCAAATCCCTTCATCAAGTAATTCTACATGTACGTCTTTTGCAAAAAATTTTCACCTATAACTTATCCTTCATAAGGGTATTGTGCAAATGGAAATTAAGTACTATCTGAAAAAGGCATTCTGATTTACAAGTTTCAGGGCTCGACACTAACGGTAGCCAACTAGCCACAGACTAGTAGAAATTTAGTTTTGGCCAGTATGTTTTTGACTTCCACTAGCCACTTTGGTTAGTAAACAAAATGAAATTGGCCGAACTAGTTTCTGTCTTCCTCAAGGAAGTCAAACACTAACACTTCACTCAGAAACAAGGTCAGAATTTCATTGTGAGCGTATCATGTTTACTTTTCGCTGTGTGGTACTTGAAAGGGTATAAAAACTGAACATGTTATTATATATTTGAAAGAAATACTGACAAAGACAACAGCATTTTCTGACAGCACACATCAATCTTCTTTTTTTTTTTACAAAATTAGTAGAACAAAACATGAGCATCCTGATAAAATCATGCGCAAAATCGTGCCAAACTGTAAAGGGATAACATTTCATTTAGCGTAACAACACATAGTGATTTGTCGTTGTTTCCATACAGACAAAACTTATACCACTGCAGAAATAATTACATGAGAAAGATTTATTTCCTTTGACATTTAATAGCAGTCCAGTTTCACAAACACTGCTTTTGAAACAGTTTGAATTTTACAGCTCCTGTCTGTGAAGAGACTGAAGAAGTCTCAACAGTTTTTACAATGACGTCTTGGGGTCTTGATATTTTCCCAAGCAAGTCTCAAAGAAAAACAGGGTCCTGAACGTCTTTTCGGAAAAATCGCTGGATTTTTTTTTGTGATCTGTTGGCCTGAGAGATTTGATGTGAGGAAAACACGAGGCAATTTAACAAAATTCAAACTTGCATAATTCGGTGATAAATTGGTTTGCCTTAGTGTTTAACGTTACCAGTCAAGTGTGACACAAGGTGTGCCGACTATAATTAATTTTATGTCAACTGGTTAAGAGGTTTCAAGAGTCGCTTGCATTGTGCTTTGAAGTCTTGCTAGTAATTCTGCTGTTATTGGACCTAGCCAACATCAAGGCTTGGCTAATAAAATTTTTTTGGGCTAGTAACATCTAAGTTGTCACTAGCCACTAGGCTAATAAGTTGGAAAGTTAGTGTCGAGCCCTGAGTTTGATAATGATATGAAATCAAACCTCCCAGACACAAAGGAAAGTGCTTAAAGTAGATTTTCCTCAATAACTTTGGCCAATTTTGGGCATCTGCAGGGGAAAATTGTGGAGTAATAAATTGACACATTCTTGTGGTTGACTTGGCAGAGCTCTAAGACATTCATTTTTTTTAGAGTCGAAAAGGTAAAATTGCTGATCAGTTGGATTTTGTTTTGTTTTGTTTTGCGGGCATCTCAGCGTTCTGCAATATAAGCCAAGATACAGTTTAATCCCTATTAAATGGCCATCCTTGGGAAATGGATAGTGGTTGCTTAAAGGGGGCTGGCCGTTCAATAGAGGTGTAAACAATAGAAAAACCCTTATCGGCACTTTGATTACTGGCCGCCTTATAGGGGTGGCCGTTCAATAGATGGCTGCTTAACAGGGGTTTGACTGTATTAGTGATGTGGCCAATTGTTGTATAATATGTACCAACTAGAGAACTGTTAGTTGTTGAAACAAAGAGTTCTTTTGTTTCATTGCCAGGGAATTTGAACAACAAAAACTGTGTTTGTAAACAAATATCCTCCCTATATCATTTGCTAGAATAAACATTTTAAAACAAAATTGTCACTCGAGCAGATCAACTACATGCACAAATTATCTAGTAAACAAGCATGTCATGGATTGTAACCAGTGTGGGAGTGGGGTCCATTATGTTCACCTGAGAAATGAATTCACATTGTATCTAGGCCTATATTACCATGTTTACTCAATTAAATGCCACGGCGTTTATTAAATTTTTTGTGACTCAAGTGTGGCATTTATTCGAGGGCAGCATTTATACAAGGGCAGCCTTTATTTAAAATCCAATTTATTTCTTGCAAACAATAGTGTGGTAAGAGCATTGAAAGAGCATTGAAGTATAGTCACTTCGAACTGAAAAACATTGTTATCAATGAAAGCAAATTTCCACTTGAAAGCTTATTTAAACTGAACTAACATATAACCGCCTTTGGCGAGTTGGATTCCCTCACTAAATATTATTATTATTATTATTATTATTATTATTATTATTATTATTATTATTATTATTATTATTATTGTTCTCGTGTTCAGATTATATTCCTTTGAGCTTCAAATGTACTGATTTTAAAACATTGTAGCCATCAAGGGAAATAAATTTTTTAGGTTTGCTCAAACTTGATTATTACCGCATTTGCCTTTTGAGTTTGTTATTCGAATAAACGACACATCATGATGCAGCATTTATTCAAGGGCAGTGTTTATTAATAGGGACCTTTAGATTGGACTAGGTGTACGCGATTGAGTACGAGTACAATTTTCGAATTTCAAACTAGTGACGTTTCCAGAGCCATCGCTCTTCATGTTAGTGTTAGGTAGAGAGGGTAGCTCATGGGGTGAAATTAGTATGTGACATGATAATGTGAAGCCTGCAAACTAGAATTGAAAAGTCGTTTTCGTACTCAATCTCGTACTCATACTCAAATCTAAAGTCCCCTAATAATTCTGCTCTTAAATGTGGCGTTAATTCGAGGGCGGTGTTTAATCGAGTAAATACAGTATTCACAGCTCTGGATAGACCTTTTCACGGTTTCTGATACCATTTTGACTGGGGGGCAAATACAGCAAAAATTACAATAAATGTTTGGCAAAAGTTAAAAGTTCGATGTCAAATAATTGGGAGTGGTTGATGTTCTGAAGATTTCATAACTTGCAAGTGGTTTTTGATCATACTTCAAGAACATAGATTTGCTGTGAGGCGAAAAATTGCTCTTTATATTTTCCATACAAATATCTCTACATTTTCCAACGAATTACATATATCGCTTTTTGGGCCGATTTTTATTTTTTGCAGGATCGAGCTAATTTTTGGCAGACTGACCTGTTTTGACATGAAAAGCATCATTCCATAACTGTTTTTGTTAATTTGGGCTTCGTTTTGGAGAAATAACGTACATGTATGCCAAAAAACTCAGTTTTCCAAGGGTATCCTTTGGAGATCTTTTGTTAAACGAAAAACAAAAGAGACCTTTTGTTTTGCTTAACGATGAAGTCACCGAAGTGTCACATTTGCTGCTAGTTGTTCGAACCGATACAAGTTTTATTATTTATATAATTACGCTAATCTCTTACTGTTGCTTCATTAGTGGAAGCGAATAAGGCACTGAATGAGCCAGATTCGAGTTAGTTTTGTCATGACAGCGGTTCGATACGAGGTGGGTTGATTTTTTTTCCCGGTCTATTTCTCTACTTCTTTCAAAAATAGAAACATGTATTTAAAAAAAAACATACTGTCGAAGCTGCTAAAAGTAACCGTTTAAGTTTGCGTCGCGTCAAAATCCACCTTCGAAGGATTCGCTTCAAAAGATGCCGCTTGGAAAAGTTAGTTTTTTTGCATAGTTTACGTTATTTCTCAAAAACCAAGCGCAAATCAACAAAAAACAATTATGGAACGATGCTTTTCACATCAAAACAAGTCAGTCTGCCAAAAAATTAGCTCGATCCTGCAAAAAATAAAAATCGGCCTAAAAAGCGATATACTTCCTTTTTGCACGAAAGCCTTCATTTGTGCTTGGCATCTTAAGTTATTACCTCATAAAAACTTTAGAACTTGAATTTCTATGAATTGTTAGACAATAGATTCTTCACTTTTCCCATGCATAATCTGTCATGTTTGCCTCCCAAATAAGATGGCGTCAAAAACCATGAAAAGGTCTATTTAGTTGGGAGATTGTGAATGAAGCCTTCAACCCTTCAAGCTGGCTCTACTCTCCAGATTCCACTCCTGTACCTACCCATTCCACTGTGATCTAAAAATCTGATACTCTCAAGATCAAATTAACCAGCTCTGCTCTTCAGCAAGACTACCTTTAGTGAATCACTGGTGAACACATTGTTGTTATCATTTTAATGACACAATAGGTTACCAAAGCAACAGTATGACCTCCTAAAAACACCCTTAAGCTTTAGGGGCTTATAATTCCAAAAGGGCACGGTGAAATTTTTTTTATACTAACAACTTTTGGTAAGCATGATAAGTCGCAACTTTTGGCAAAGTGTAAAAAAATTATGTAGGTTTAAAGCCACCTTAAATTTTCAAAATTTAAGGTGGCTCTGAGCCCTACCTACAGAATTTTTTTAAACTTTGCCAAAAGTTGGGTCTTATCATGCTCAGGACCGGAAATAACAGTTGGTCATCAGACATTGAGCGACCAAATTTTGAATATGTCTGGCCAATTTCACATTATGATCGGACATGATGTCCGAACATTTCACCGACACCAAGTTATTGTCCATCCATAAAATTTGGTTATATACATTGTTAAAAGGCTCGAAATTGCAACCGGTACGGTTGCCAATGCGGCTAAAATTTCATCTTTAGCAACCAAAAATTCTGGTTTAGTTGACAGCCGAAAACACGTCTGTGTTCACGGGCTACCATAATGGCGACTACATTTCTCTGTGCTGACGATCAATAGCGGTAATTTTCTCAGACATTAGGTCCTTCCAGAAATACATGGTGAAAGATCTTTGTTTCTATAACATTCAACGTAAGAAAAGAAAGCAATCTATCCTTTTGCTTTGCTGTAAAAGATTCCCTCACATCAGAAAACTTGCAAATGGCTGTTCTAATCCATTGCAAACCCTTGAGCATTGAGTAACTCATGTATGCCCACGGATTGTGTTTCCCCAAAAGGACCCATCAGGTAGTTCTTCGTCCTTGTGCGCCTTGGTATTCAACTGACATTAGTGTTCAAAAGAACATAAGGAGGAAGCTCGAACGTAACTGGCGACGTACAAGATTACCTGCAGATAGAGAGCGGTATGTGTTTCAGAACAGTGTTGTTAATGACATGATTGCCTCCGCGAAGCACACATTTTATTCATCAGTGATCCAGGAAAACTCAGGGAACTCTGGACTTCTTTTTAAGCCAATAGAGAAGCTTCTGCACTCCAATCCAGTCCAGCGTTATCCGGCCATCTGGGCCTAATAACTGTTCTCTCTCCGAATCATTCGTTGAATATTTTATTGACAAAATTGTTAAAATCCGCAATGATCTTGACAAAGTTGATGGAACTCTGAGTGACGGTCAAGTTACTTCATGTAATGCTGAGTCTGAAAGCTGTCTGGCTGGTCAGCTGCTAAGTGANCATAACTGGCGACGTACAAGATTACCTGCAGATAGAGAACGGTATGTGTTTCAGAACAGTGTTGTTAATGGCATGATTGCCTACGCGAAGCACACATTTTATTCATCAGTGATCCAGGAAAACTCAAGGAACTCTGGACTTCTTTTTAAGACAATAGAGAAGCTTCTGCACTCCAATCCAGTCCAGCGTTATCCATCTGGGCCTAATAACTGTTCTCTGTCCCAGTCATTTGTTGAATATTTTAGTGACAAAATTGTTAAAATCCGCAATGATCTTGACAAAGTTGATAGAACTCTGAATGACGGTCAAGTTACTTCATGCAATGCTGAGTCTGAAAGCTGTCTAGCTGGTCAGCTGCTAAGTGAATTTAAACTTGTCTCTGAGGAGGTCGTATCTGGTTTTGTGAATCACCTGTGTTCAAAGTCCTGTAAACTTGATCCAATTTCATCTTCAGTGTTCAAAGGGTGCTGTCATTATCTGCTTCCAATGATCACTTGTATAGTTAACTTGTCTCTTACAAGTAGCCAAGTACCTGATAGATTCGAGGTTGCCATGTTGAAGCCATTGTTGAAAAAGAGTGGAGCTGATCATGAACTATTTTCTAACTTTCGTCCTGTCTCGAATTTATATTTTCTATCCAAAGCTACGGAGAAAGCAGTTGCAGCACAATTAATGGACCACCTTAATGATAATAAAGGCTTATTAGAAGAATTTCAGTCTACATATAAATCTCATCACAGTACAGAGACTGCGCTTGTGAGAGTTCAAAATGATATTTGATAAGGCTATTGACAATAACAGATCGGTTATATTACTATTGCTCGATTTATTGGCTGCGTTTGATACTGTCGATCATTCGATTTTGTTATCTAGACTACAGAATCGCTTTGGTATTAGGAACACTGCTCTTAATAGGTTTCATTCGTACCTTCACTCACGC